TTGAGGATTTTATTATAAATTGTAATCGGAGCACTGTTCCTATTTTAACCAGGAATGGCACACCTAATTTATTTCCCGTTGGATCAAATATGCAAATAATAAATGATAATTTAAAAAATCTAAAAAAATCTTCTCAAACGGAAGACGTTGTGATCGAACTAAAAGTTCAAGGACTAATTGATTATGAGGCGAATAATTATGAAAGCTCTATCGATCTTTCAAGTAAATTACTTAGCATTGATCCAAATGAGTTAGCCTACTTTAAACAAAAAAATTACGAAAAATCGCTTGTGGATTTAAATAAATTATTAAGTATTATTGATAATGATTTATTTTCGCTAATATCCCGAGGACAAATATACTGTGTACAAGGCAATTATGAAGAATCACTTGTAGATTTAAATAAATCATTAATAATAGACTCAAATAATGCTATTGCACTGAGATCTCGCGGACAAACATTATACATGTTAGAACGTTATGAAGAATCACTGAAAGACTTAACGGATTCATTAGATAAGGGTTTAAATGATCCAGATACACTGAGATCTCGAGGACAAACGCTTTATATGCTAAAACGTTATGAAGATTCTCTTTCTGATTTAAATAAATCATTAGATCTTGATTCTAATAATGCGATTACATTAAGATCTCGAGGCCAAACATACTATAGGCTAAATCGTTTAGAAGAATCACTTGCAGATTTAACTAAATCATTAGAAATTGACCCGAACGATGCTATCACTTTAGAATATCGAGGACAAGCTCACCTTAAATTAAAAGAATTTAACAAATCCCTTAATGATTCGACCGATTTATTAAAAATTAATCCAAAAAACACTACTGCAATATTGGTTAAAGGACAAACTTATTTCGGATTAAAAAAATATGAAGAATCTATAAAAAGCTTGACAGAGTTGTTAGACTTTAATCCAGAATATATCGACGCATTAAATGCTCGAGCACAAGCTTATTATATGATTTGTGAATATGCAAATTCACTTAAAGATTTGAATAAATCATTCGAGCTTGATTCTAATAATGCGATTACGCTAAGATCTCGAGGCCAAACATACTATATGCTAAATCATTTAGAAGAAGCACTTTCAGATTTAACTAAATCATTAGAAATTGATCCGAAAGATGCTATTGCTTTAGAATATCGAGGGCAAACTCACTTTAAGTTTAAAGAGTTTAACAAATCTCTTGAAGATTCGACCAATTTATTAAAAATTGATCCAAAAAACACTATTGCAATGTTGGTTCAAGGGAAATAAATTAGGTGTGCCATTCCTGGTTAAAATAGGAACAGTGCTCCGATTACAATTTATAATAAAATCCTCAA